CAAACAGCTTCACCAGCCCAGCAGCAGCAGCATCATCATCATCATCATCACAACCGCGACCCCCTGTCGTGATGAACTCACTGCGCGTTGGTGGGATTTATTCCCCCTGAACTCAGACTTCCAGGTTGTGTGAAAAATACACCTCAAAGGCTTTACCCATCAAAGAGTAACTGAAGTTTGTTTTTCAAACCAGGAGAATTGGTGAAAGGTTGGGACGTATGATTTAGGAGAAACAAACACGGTTTTCTTTACACATCTGGTGAAGGAAAACTACCTGAATGGCTGAACTCGGGGCGAAATACAGCTACATTCCGCAGTTCTTTTTATGGCCACTTGAGGCTTGTTCCAAACGTGAGTCAATTTTCACAGACCAATATGCAGCAATTACCAACCTTACAACAAAATTAAAATGTACTCGTCCTTCCACAAATTGGTGAGGTGTTAACATACATAAAATAAACAGGCAGAACTTGACAGTCCGCCATTGTTGTTGTAGTCCACCAACTCGCTAATTGGTATTAACCTTAATGCACATGTGCGCTTCGTCTCCATTTTCAGAGTTAGAGTGTATTTCCAGTTTGTGCTGCGACAGAGACGGTGCTGTTTTCAAAAGTTTGCACTCTGGAATTCGTTTTCAGGCACCCAAAGCGGCGTTGTGGTGTTAACAAACAGCCAAACAATTTGGTTACTGCTTTTGGCTAAAATCCTTGCTGTGAAAACGTTATCTTACACAAAGCTTAGTAAACAAAGCTGCTTGAACACATCAATGTCTTTATCACGATAACCTGCTTTTTCTCTTTAGGAGGGAAAAAACTACAGATAAATCAGTTTGTAAGACACACACAAGCTAATAAGCTAGGTATATATGTAAGCTAGGTAGGTATAAGCTAGGTATTTTTATCTTCGGCTCACATACTATCTGTGTCTTAAATCTCACAGCGATAGCTCAATGAAATCAACATGAGTTAATAAAAGTTTGAAATCGGTCTTGGTCTCAGTTTCGTCTTGGACTCTAAAGCTTGTTTACTCGGTCTTGTCTCAACCCCAGACTGGGAGGACTCTGTCTTTTAAAACAAGACCGGTCAAGACCACAACTGATCGACTATTTTTTCACGTCATTATTATGAGAAAGAAAATGCCTCTTTGTAAAAGAACAAATAACTTCAAGTCATTCATAATTTGTTACGACCACAACCTTCCCCCTGCACACAAGATGATGATTTCCCTTACATTTATGGTCTTGGTCTTGATCCCTAAATGTCTTGGTCTTGATCCCTAAATGTCTTGGTCTTGGTCTTGGTCTTGTCTCGATCTCGACTTGCCTCAGTCTTGGTCTCGACTCAGTCTTGATCATATGATAATATGACATAAATAACTGTTTCAATCCTCCGTTATTTATTTTCACAATAAATTAGCAAAAAATTATTCAGATGAAAATCGAAGAATAAAATAAAAAACAACTCTTAGCAAATAATAAGGAACATAATCATATTACTAGAGCTAAAAGTATAACTCACAACATGCTAAATTACTAATGAAGCTACCCATGTCACATCAGATCTTTAGTTGTTAATGCACCTACCTGTGTGAGTCTGCGAGTGATTACCTGGTTGTCGTCGTCGGCTGGTGTATCCGTGCGTCTACAGATTGAAGCAGCAGCTCTGTCTCACAACAATCATCCACTCGCTGATCTTGAGCCTGTGTTTTTCTTCTTCTGTTTAATTGGATGGCAGCACCTCTCTCCAGGTTTCCTGGTAACCCACCAACCTGCTGATGTCACTGCGCTCCATAATGAAGTGTCGAGTGTATCTGGCTGCCTTTGTCAAAAAAAAACAGGCGGGGAAATACACAGGAGAGACGACTGACACGGTCACGTCTGCCATGATGTGATCTAAGCTGATGGCAACACTCACAGATTCTGTGGTTCTTTAACTTTAGTGATTTCACAATGTTTTATTATCACATCATTTTATTTTCAATTGACTATGAGGGGTTAAAGCTATGTCATGAAAGTGGAGATGACGATAATTAAGGGATAAACATGTGTGGAAATTGGAACAAAGTGAAACATTTTTAGGTGTTTTGATTAATTTGAGCTCAATTTTATTTTAAAAAATGAGTTTTGATTTGGTGAAAATAGAGACATAATAAATCATTTTCTTTGACTTATCATTCACAACACAAATATTTTCAGGTATCATTTCAGGAAAGGGACCTCAAAGGTGGAAATCCGACGAGGGCATCAAAACAGTGCATCAGTACTCTGAATAATGGCAGAGGAGACCACACCAATTAGTCCACAGGCTGAGATAAATGAAAAGTAGTCCAGTAGAAGGAGACTCATGCGCTTCAGCCATTCCCCAAATGGAGGTCGGTGCTCTCAGAGAGAAGCCTTAAAATATAACTGAGCAGACTCCTTCTCTCAGGCAGGATCCAAAGAAGGTACTGGGGCACATGAATCAATTAAGGCAAATTTAATAAGGTGCAAAGGAGGACCATTTCGACACACTTCTTCTTCCTTCATTGTCAAAAACCCAAAAGTCTCTCTGATTAAAAAATGAGTGGTCGCCCTCCCCCTCTCTCGTCTTTATTTCTACCACCCCGACGTCCCTGACACCCAGCCTCCACCATCGGATTGTGTCGTCCCCACATCCACCGCCGTCCTCATTCATGCACGGCCTGCTCCGACCTCCACCTCAGGGGCAAGGAAGTGTGGACAACAGGAACGACAGGAATACAAAGGAGAAATCCTTCCTGAATATTATCCCATTTTTCTTTTGTAATATTACAATGATTAAGGTCTTGTATAGGGTCTCGAGGTAACACTTGGATGAATGAATTGGCGCTATACAAATAATGATTGATCGATAGTTCCTCTGCTCTGATAATCCGGTTGAGAACGCTGCAAGGTGCTGCATTTATCGTCAGAGCTGTCAATCATGACGCTACTCCCGCTCTCTTTTGCATCAAATTACTTATTAAAGCCACAAATTAGAAAAATGAACAATTGGACATCAGAGCTAAATAATCTAGGTGTGAGAAACTTTTTTATGATGCGTATGTTTGACCCGAATCCCATCTGTTCACATGGAGGAGGCGGGGTTTCTGACCTATATTGCATGGGGGGGGGGGGACTCTAAATATTTTTGGCTTCACTCCTAGGTGGCTGTTTCTCCGTCCATCATAATATACCGTCGATGATGTTGTTCAAAACTTTTGAGTAGGATTCATTAATCCAAAAAATGTAGATTATCCTGATGCCAGCAGGCGGCTGGATTCAGACGGGATTACAGGAATTTACCAGTAAGGACTTAAGAAACACTAGAGATGGACGTGTTGCAGAGCTGCATGGGTGGGAGGGATATTTGCATCTCCAAGAGTCTCCTTCAGCTCGTCAACTCGTCACTGTGGAATCTGTTGGACTGCCACTGATTTTTAAATCCTCCTCAAACATCTGCCTGAGGAGTCAGAAGCATCAAAAGACCGAGGGACAGACAGGAAAGCCGTCCTGTTAAATCTCATTGTCTTTGTCCTGAGGGAAAAATGAGTTGAAGCTGATTCTGCGACAGCAACAAATTCACGTCTACAACTGAGAAAAAAAACTTGATTACATATCATGTTTTCTAGGAGGGGTTCCTGTTTGTGTTTTTTTTTTTTTTTTAAATCAAATGCCCGCTGAGTCTAAATGACAGCCCTCAGATCTGTTTCCTCCTGCTTCGTTGGGTTGAGTGAGGCGCTCAGGGACGGATTAATGAAGTCTGATCTCCGGAGGCCTGAAGCAGCAGGGTCGACACACACCTGCTGCTGAAGTCAGCTTGATTGATCTGCAGTCGCTTTTTAAAAAACCCTTTCATCTGTCGAGGGGAAAGACGAGTGAACGCAAAGCTCACAATCTGAGTGCCACTGAAGTAGAACATGTTGAGGACGAAGCAGTTTGTTAATTTGTTAACAAATCTGATTCATGATGAAATATAACATTGGGTTATATTAAGTTGTGTAAATTTGTCATCTCAACGACTTTTTCAAAACTCAGGAAAACATAACATTTAATATCTGTGTTCTTCCTTTCCCCCTCCTCCTCCCTCTCCTTTGCTCTCCAGGTGCAGCTCCTCAGCCTCTGTGCAGGTAATGAGCTCACCTGCTGCAGGTTACCAATGAAGGGTTAGAGAGTCATTCAGTGATCGTGTGTGGAAGTTAGAGCTTTGCTTACATCTTCAGTGGACGGAGGGTCTCGCTGGATGTGGTGTCATTGCTGTTTTTGTGACCGACTACTATTAGTTTGTACTGATTTGGCCAAAATGCAGGATGCATAATGTGAGATCCGCAGTATGCCAAAAATACCCGGATATAGTATTGATTCAGGAAAAATCTCCAGTATGCACCAGTACCTCAGGCTTTGTCCAGTAATATTTACAGTCTGTGGTTGGGATCACCAAATGTTACATTTTAAAAAGCAATAATCAACACTGAAATAAAGCTGCTCTTAAATACATTACTTTGCTAACATAACATAAAATAGATTTAATGTGTTTTTATATTATAGACAGAATTTATAATTTTTTTTATAAACGTAAAGGATGAAGTGAAGGTGCATGTTTTTCAGATCAAAAGCAGATTAAAGTTTTCAGGCAACAAAATTACATAGACAGTCAATCAACGACAGTTTTGCAGCGGGGAGCAAATATTTTAGACGGGCCGAGCGAGCGATGTGACACAAACATACAAAGTGTAGATCACTTTAAAGGCAGATATGCTTCATTTTACACAAATATATCAGAAATCCAGGGTCATGACTGTCTACAATGAGTGAAAAGCTCGAGTCCCGCTGGCTCTGTTGTTGTTAGAGCCGTGTTTACATGGACGGGACGGCCGGCTCCTCCCCTTGTGTATAAAAGCTGTTTTAGTCAAGAACTAGAGAGAAGAAGAAGAACATACTCACTGATTATTTGGATGTTAGTAAGAGTTTTTAGATCACGCTCATTCTGTGCTACGAGCTAACTAAAGGGCGCTAACATTAGCATGCTAACACAAAAATGCAGGACACAGGTGATTGCAGCTCGAGCAAAGGACAATTTGGTCCGCCGCCCGCACTAAACTTCTTGTGCAAGGGCGAGTGGAGGGGGGATGGAGGTGTGTCTCTGGAGGAGAGTGGAGGCTTCAGTATGGAGGAGGTGTGGCCAAACAGAAATTTGTTTTGGTCTCATGCTGGTGCCCAAGGGTGACACCTACTGGATCAAAAAGTCTCACATTCTTTCTTTAATAATTCAGCACCCAAAGCATAACTCACCCTGAGTAACACAACATGAATATTTGTTTTTGCTTTTGGTCCAAACACACCTAAATAATACAATTCAGACATGAAGAAGGAAGAGCTCCAGGTCACAAATGAAATGTGACGCATCATTTACAATTAATACGAAAATATGATTTTTGGTGTGACGTTTTAAAATACAAACTAATCAGATAGATTCAAGGATCTGAGAAGTTACATTAAAAAAAAAAAATATTTAGCTATGCTTACAATAATGTGTTGTGGATGTTTTCATGTTTGTAAGGACCCCTCAGAGTGTGTGTGTGTGGTGTGTTTGTGTGTGTGTGTGTGTGTGTGTGTGTGTGTGTGTGTGTGTGTGTGTGTGTGTGTGTGTGTGTGTGTGTGTGTCTTCAAAAGGGAAGTCTGCTGGACAGGGGAATCTTCTTTTTCAGAGTCAGGGTGGAGTTGACCTGCTCTGCCGACAGCAGGTTGTGCCACTGAGCAACCGGCCGCCGCGGGTTGGACAACATGTCGGCCCAGTGCCTCAGCTGGTTCCCCGTGGCATCGCAGCCCAGGAAGATCTTCCCCATGGTGTCGTTTCGGGTCATGGCGTCGTGGTCCCACAATGAGATCACCAGATGCACCTTCTGTGGAAACAGGAGCAAAGTCTTTCGTCTAACTGAGCTTCAGACCAAAAGCGATGAAAATATTTGTTATATGTTTTATGAAACCGTGCTGGGACCATCGACGTCCTCATTCCTGCACAGCCTGCAGAAGGAGCAACTTGGGGTTAAGTGTCTTGCCCAACGACAAATCGGACCAGTGGCTGCAGGAGCTGGGGATCAAACCCGAAGACCAACTCTACCAACTGATCCACAGCCGAATCTCACTCACCTGGATTTGTTCAAACGTCACGTCAAAGGTGAACGACTCGTTGTAATAAGGGCTCAGCGTCTTCCTCTTCACTGTCGTCTTCCTTTTCTTCCACTTCCTCCGATCCAGAGCCAGCTGCACCTTCACATAAGGATCTACAAACAACGACATGTCGGATTCATTCCCTCAAAATCAGTAAACTCCTGGGGAGAGCTCTTCCAAGAATTAAATGTGGCATTAATCAGTCACAGCTTGTGTGATGAGACAAAAGAGACTTTCATTACAACAAGAAAAAACACAAGAAATTATCAAATATCTGAGTGTTGGAAAATTATTTCAAATGTTTTAAAATCCACATCATCACCATTTCTCTGAACACATGAAAGGTGTACTCCAGTTTTTAGCCTCCAGTTTGATATGTTGGTTGTAGCTTTCTCTTATTTAGGAGCTATTGAGATAATTCTTCCCCAAACCTTCAGTGTCCCTTAAGTTGTTTTTGAAGCACAGCTGCAGTTTGAATGTTTGAATGATCTTAGTTTTGACCCTTATAGAAGAAGAATTAAACCTCGGGTCAGAGGGGTGTCCAGAGGGGGGGGGCTAGGGGTTGCTTGTGCCCCCCTTGAAATCTGATTTGTCACCCCAGGTGCCACCCCAGAATGCAAATCTATGATTGGCTATTTGCCTTATCAGCGACGAGGCTTAAGTTAAAATAAACTTTTATGGATGTTTTCAACAGGCTAATGGTAGTTTTCTTTTTAAGCCGTTTTCACACATGCACTCCTGAAAATATCTAGATCATTTCAGGAGGACTGCTCCACATATTCTCCTGACTTGGTTGTTCCCATGTGCTCCTCAGAGCGGGAGACTCTACCTGTCAGTCAGGAGGGGGGGCGGGGGGTCTCCTGAGGTAAGATGTGTTGAAAAAAAAAAAAACACGCTGAAGTAGCAGATGAAGCAGTCCTCTATACATCACTATAATGAGAACATGTGTCTTAATATGAATGCTACGTGTAGTTGAACAGAATCTAAATCTGAACTAAAGAGTGAGAAGAACATACTGGAGAACAGGAAACATAATGCAACAGGTGCATTAGAGCACGGAGATACTCTATGCACCGTGCAGCAGTCACAGTATATAAATATCACTCCCCCTCCCACTCGCTCGAGGTGAATTCTCCTGATTATATCCTGCTGCGTTCTCACATCAGCTCACTCGGACTTTCTGCAGAAAATATTCTAAGAGACTGGCAGGAGAAACTCCGGGTGAAGTCAGAGTGAACATTTTGCTCTCACACTTTCTTTTTGAGTCCCTAAAGAATCAAGCTAAGAAGAGTTATATGTTGCCAAATTCTGTTACTTATGAGAACATATCATTAATGGGGAAAAAAGGGGGAAAAATAAGAGATGAATTAGCATGCGCCCACAAACTTCCTGCCACGCCTCCATAAGTCAGCCACCCCAGCCAAAAAAAAAGTAGACACACCCCTGCCTTGTATAATATGTTAGGATGTAAGTGAGTTCCGTATGAGTTCCCTCTCTGACCTGAAGCCCCAGTGATGTCCATGCTCTTCAGGTTTTTGGCCTCCAGGATCACCACAGTCAGTTTGCCGGCGGTGGGAACGTAACGCAGAGAGAAGCAGATCTCGCCCAGGTTTTCATCCTGCAGGAAACAACGAAACGGAGAATTTGACAACAAAGAAAATATCTATAGTTTAATATGTTGCAGGAATATTTTTGTGTCTCCGCAGGACAAAGATGCCTAAACAAACATGGTGGACTATAGGACTGAACAACTTATCTCTTCAACATTGAAATGATCTGCTCATGTGCATTAGTCATATTGAAGGATGTGCAATGCCTGTCCTGTGACCTGAGGGATGTCATGCTGACACTTCTCTGTTGTTTGATGCAAAACGAAAACACCAGTTTGTCTGACGTTCAGCGGTCACAGGATTGACTGTTGCGCATGCAGAGTCCCTGCATGCACATGTAGACATACAGTAGAAGCTGCTGCCGTCACTTACCCAGGCATGACGCTTGAGGCAGACGCTCATCTATGCGAGGCAGATTTAAAATGAGTGTTCCCACTATCAGCAGCATCGACTGGTTAATGCTGTGGCCACATTGACAGAACGTTAAGGGTTGTTAATGCAGAAGAGGTGCCGCTGATATATTACGTCTAGCGGCTACACCTGAAGCACACAGTTTTTAAGTCACTGCAGCCCACTGACGGCAGGCTTTGTTCCTTCCTAAAATGCAACCAGTGTTAAAGGAGCAATATGAAAATCAAAAAAGTGTTTAAAATGCAGTCCAAATTCTAAACATTGTAGAGTCGATGCTCATGCAGGTTGCAATGTGGTGGACTTTGAAGCTTCAGTGTTTAGCCAGCTCTGCATCGGTCTGTAAACCTTTCTGTGTTCTAACCTCTCTCCATTTTTCAAAAGCATCTCCAATATTGATCCTAGTTTGAGCACATTTCTGCTCGTGGAGCTTATTAGAAACATGCAGAGGCTTTTTAGGTCGGGTACAATCACTTCTATCTGAACCAGTTCTCTTGCCCGCTTCCATCACTGCAACACCTGTTGGTTTGACCTGATAACTGGTCTCATATCTGGCAAACCGAGGGGCTTTTAAGGGGTGCCTTAAAACCGCCTACCTTCTCTGGTCGGAACAAATCCAGAGCATTCAGGACCAGAATCTAAAGTTAGAAGGAGAACATACTGGCTGCTGCATTGTTGTCAGAGAAGCCAGCACTTCAACATAGCATGTTTCCTTAATGTCTGATCATATAGTAAGCTCATTTTATCATTTCACTCATTACACATCTTTATGGATTGGACCTTTTAAAAATAAAAAAGCAACAAGGACAAAGCCAACCTCAAACTTGGCGGGCTCTCCGAGGTCCTCCCACTCCTCGATGACGTGGTTCCAGTCGACGTTGCAGAGCTGCACCCGGAGCTCGCCGATGATGTTGTGTTTGGAGAATCTGTTGAAGTCAAACACCTGCATCACCACCGTTGACTTCAGGAGGGAAGACTTGGATATCTGTGGGGGAGATCACTCATCTCAGACACAATGTTTGATTCACCGAAAACAACTCAATCCACTTTCTAACACCTCTTATTAACGTCACTAACCCCCCGTCCTACCTGGAAGTTGAATTGTTCATTGAAGACGGGGCTCAGCGTGTTCCTGAACACTTTGGTCTCGCAGGTTTTTGCTTTGTCGGGGCAGACGTAGACTTTAACGTACGGGTCTGAGCTTCCCCCCAGGTCCATGGCCTTCAGGCTGTTGGCTTGTTTGATCCCCACGATGAGCTAGAGACAAACAACAACAGAAAAAAGACTCACTTTGTGGACCCAGTTTCCCAGTGTTTGAGAGTTTTACTGCATGTGAAAAAGCTTTTAAATGTCTTTATTATCTTAAGAGGGAGCTGTGTTAAGAAATAAAATGTCCTCGAAGCAGATTCTCTAAGGAAAAAGCAGAGAACTTTACAGAGGCTCAGTGGTGTAAACGGTTAAATCACCTCAGACTGAGCGGCTTTGTAGTCCAGCGAGTAGAGCAGCTTTCCTCTCAGCTGTCCGGCCGAACCGTAGTCCACATCATTCACATCCGGCTGAACCTAAACACTCATCAGGACAGAAGATAATCACCCACAGCTCAGAAAAATCCACTACAAGTTACTCTAAGCAGAGAAAATACAGCAAAACTCATATTTACTAATTTTTCATTCAGCGAAAACAAGAACATATATATCCGTTATTGATGCTAACTTCAGTTTGTTTTAATGTTTGGTATGCAAAAGCAGTTGCAGATTTACCACAAGAGGGCGCCGTCACTCACCAGAGACGTGGTAGTTTTTCCGTTCAGATTGATCTTCTCGTCCTTCTTCTTCTTCTTCTGCTTCTTCTTCGATCTGCGGCAGCACTTGATGCAGATGCACACACAGCAGAGCAGAATCACCAGAACGCCGACCACGAAGATGATGAATATTGCCCATCGAGGCACTGTGGTAAAAATTAACAGTTTTTAAAAGGACAATCTCATAGACACGTCTTCCTCTTGTGCACCTATAGGGAAACAGAAGAACTGGTACAGAGGGGAAGCAAATTGAGAGTACAAGCAGAACTTTTTTTCATGGGTCACAGGATTCCCGTGGGATTCCTGCAGGACGAGAATGGATTTAACTACTAATCACAGGATTGTGACGTGACAGGAAAAAAGTTAATGGGAGAGGAGGGGAGCGGGAATCATGATAACAAGAGACCAGTTTTAAATGCACACATATAAATAAATAAAAGGCTGTTATGTCGATCAGCTTAGTGTCTGTTTGCTGTTTAAACTTGAATGACATGTCGTGTGGAACAGTGCACACTGGTCAACTATTGAAAAATGAAGCCAATGCTAAAGTGCAAAATCCTGCAGTACACCCAGTGTCCACTAGAGGCTGGCTGCAGAAGCACAGGAAGTCACATACACACCCATTCAAAACAGCCTGTTTTCACAGCAGAGATTAACATGTTTGCAGCCTGGTTAAAAAAAACAAATAGGTCTGATTAGCTCATGTCTCGATCGACACACACTGTACGGGGATGAATGTTTTGATGACTCATCAGTTTTGATTTTGATGAAGGATAAGAGTTATTCACAATAAGGCATGTAGCTGAGCTAATTGACAGGTGGGCGCGGTGTAACGGTTTGCCAGGAGGCTTAAAACTTAATTTACTTCCAAAACTTTATTGATCCTGTGGGAAAGTCTGTAATCTCAGAATTATTTAAAGGCTAAATAAAATGAGCTACAAGCTGCAACATTAAAGTCACAAAATGATCAGTTGGCGGAGGAAGACAAAGGGTTAGTCGACTGGTGGCTGGTTGGTGACTTACAGGGGATGCTGTCCAACAGGCCGTTGATGAAACCAGCTGCTGGGTTGACGGTGGTGTTGGTGTGAGAGGAGGTGGTGGAGAAGACATCGATGGGAGGAGTCAGTGAAGGTGGAGCACGAGATAACGGATGAGAGGACTTCGGGGATCGATGGATATTAGGCATGATGAGGAGGATTGAAGAAAGGAGCTCTGGAATAAGGAGGAGAGAGAAGAGACTTAGTTTTTAAAAGAGAGATATTCTTCTAAAGAGAGTTAAACACAGAAAACTGCAGCATGTCTATAAACGGCATTGCTGTGATTCATAACTGACAAGAACACAGCTTCAAAATGCTTTTCCTTGCCTTTAATTTAGGAATGACTTGGGGTTGGAATCTTGTTGGAAGCATTTGGAAAAATGTAAACATACAACTCCAACTCCAAGATCTTCAACCAAGTCCAGTTGCCTTTGGATCGAGCTTTAGACATGTAAAAAAAAAAAGACCTATAGCACCTAACAGCAAAGAAACCTCGAGAAAAATACACAGCCATAAAACCGCTCACTGTCTCGCGCTCTCTGGACGGTAAAACTCAGGTTTTCTGGATGTTTCCTGACAACACTGAAGAATACAATCAAACATCAGAGTAACCAAACTCTGTTGACATGACTGAGTGGAAACTCCACCATGAACAAACAGTCTGATTCACACTCTGCTCACAATGCTTCAACAATGTTTCCTTGGTACTCTGCCTCGAGTGTCTGTGTAAGTCAACAGAGCAGGAAGAAATACGTACTTACATAATTACACATCTACTAATTTATCTACAGAATCACTGACAGATACACAACCTGAGAGTGGACCTGTTTCTGGAAACAATCCCAGTTTACTCACCGTATTGCTCCAAAGAATCAATTTACATTCTCACACAGAGAAATTCTGCAACGACAGAAAACAAATGTTGTTTTCACCTGGAGAAGCCTGGCTGTAAGTTCTTTGTTCAGTTCTCCAGACTAAACAAAGCAAAGGCTCTCTGGGTTGTTGATATGGCCAAATGTACTCCTTGTTTTATTGTCGTATCTGGTGCTGATCACATGAGAAGTAGTGAGCTGATAATAATTAGTCAGATACGCTAAATTTATACGACTCAAAACTTGCTACAAGCGAGAAATGTCCGCCTTGTGAGTATTGTAAAATGTATAAAATCTGCCCGATTTAAGATAAACAAGTTTGACCAAGAGGGGGACCAGATTAATGAAACAGGAGTTAACGGATTTCTGTGGATCCCATTCATGTAAAATTGTCTGAAGCTGTAGAGAGCTGTCTCCCCCCGCCTCCTCCTCTCTAGAGTCGATGCTCAAGCAGGTTGCCATGTGGTGGACACTGAAGCTTTAGCCAGCTCTGCATCGGTCTGTAAACCTTTCTGCGTTCTAACCTCTCTCCATTTTTCAAAAGCATCTCCAATATTGATCCTAGTTTGAGCACGTTTCTGCTCGTGGAGCTTATTAGAAACATGCAGAGGCTTTTTAGGTCGGGGACAATCACTTCTATCTCAACCAGTTCTCTTGCCCGCTTCCATCACTGCAACACCTGTTGGTTTGACCTGATGACTGCTCTCATATCTGGCAAACCGAGGGGCTTTTAAGGGGTGCCATCCAAAATGGCCGTGTGGAGGTGCCTTAAAACCGCCTACCTTCTCTGGTCCAAACAAATCCAGAGCATTCAGGACCAGAATCTAAAGTTAGAAGGAGGACATACTGGCTGCTGCATTGTTGTCAGAGAAGCCAGCACTTCAACATAGCATGTTTCCTTAATGTCTGATCATATAGTAAGGTCACTTTATCATTTCACTCTCTACACATCTCACTGATTGAACCTTTAATTTCAACTGTTACTCCTTTATTCTGCCATGTGTGGAGAGATTTTTAAAACAATAACAAAGATGTGACTCTCCAGAAGGCCCAAATGCGGCCATCTTTGTTTAAAGTAAGATGTTGTAAAACTGAAGTCAATAGAAATGGCAACTGTTTCTAGGCCTCCCTCTGAACCTAAAACATTTATTGAACCAATCGTTCCCTGTATTGTCTATGATTAAATGAGAGGCACAGGCTGGTGCTGGAGCATCTGTCATATTTGTGAGACCTGTTTTTAAAGGATGCACCGCTGGCGATAACCAGTCAACTCAACACAACAACACCTGGAGGAAGATCCTCAACGCTGCAACAAAATATAAAACATTATTTTAACTACTAAATGTACTATTCCCAGTGTGTCCTTAAAGGATACTTCACCCGTTGAAACATTAATCTGTATTGACATTGCATCATATATGTAGTAGAAATGTGAAATCAATTTTGAAGTTGGTGCCTTCTTGGCCGAGAAAAGGCAGAAATTGTCTTTTTGGCTCATGTGGATGAAAGACACCAAATCCCAGAATGAACAGCACCGCAGGCCACTCCCACTAAGGTCAGTTTTACTGACAGATTTACTTTAACACATAAGGTCGTTTCCTCAACTGATTCCGAGATTTCTTCCAGAAGGAATTGGTATCTTGGAAATTTCTGGCAGAAAACAGACTCTATGTCTGTGTCCATAGGCAAACAGTTAAAACCCACGACACAACCAGTCCGCCCCAGTTAGAGCCGGCCCCGGCTCCACATCCTCACCGCCGCCGACAGGCAGGCTTTATGTCTCAGTTGCTGAGCTGGCGTCGAGCAATATAGCCACGAGACAGTTGCTGCCGACAGGCTGGTTTTGTGTCTTGGCTGCTGCAGCCAGCGGTGGTCCCGGCGGCCAGCGGCGGCCCTTGTGGCGGCCCCTGTGGCCAGCGGCGGCAGCAACCAAGACACAAGACCGGCCTGTTGGCAGCATCCGTCTCGCTGCTAAATTTATATTTTTTCGCCATTATCAGCTTTCTCCATAGAGCCTGTTAGCATAGCTTCCAAGCAATATGGCGGATGTTAAGTTTTGATTCTGGGAGTGAGTTCCCACCCACTGATCTTTGATTGGTCTGTAGCTTCAGTGGTCAAAAATATGAAGAACTAGTGTTGTAGTTTCACCCTGCTAATCGCAACAGGTTCCAGTGACGCAAAATGACGATTTTTGAGTCACTGGAAGCTCCTTTTCAGACTTAAATATATAAAGATTTCCCATTTCAGGGGAAAATAAGGGCGGGATGCACGACCATTCAAAAATACTACCAGGTTTCAAAGCTTAATGCAAATGGGTGAAGTATCCCTTTAATAAAAGCTGTTAGTAAAGTATTTACTCACTATTAAAGGCTGCTACAGAGATATGGACTTCTACCTGCGTCGACCAGCTGAAGTACTCCAAAAAGAAGAGGGAGTCCTTCGTGTTTGAGAAAAAGTGAAGAGGAAGGAGGTGACGTCCAGCAGAGACCGAACCGGACTTTCCCTTAAAACAGCCCCTCACCCTCGTTTGATCAAAAGGAGGAAACGTCTCCTCCCTCCATCTCTCTTTCACAGTAATGAGCAGGAAAAACACATCAACAACAGGCCATCAGAGGCAGCGGGGCGGGAGCACTTACATAACATTCACTTCTTGTTCTTGGGTAGAAAAAAACTAGAGTTTAAATTTCATCGTGTAGCCTCCATAAACGTAGACGTTACTAAAGGACTTGTTGTAGTTAGTGTCCCGATGAGGAGAAATAACTTACAGGTCCAGATTGAAACATAAATGGCAAATGGACTGATGCTTGTATATTTCTTTTCTTGTCTTCTGACTACTCAAAGTGCTTTTACACCGCAGGTCACACCTACACATTCACACACTGATGGTAGAGGATGGGGTGTAAAGAGTCCATCAGTATCAACTCATCCATTCATACACATTCAAACCCTTCTGACGAAGCAATGGGAGCAAGGACACAAGGATGCAAGGACACATCGGACATGTAGCTGTAAAGGCTGGATATCAAACCCCCAAACCCTCGGTTTGCCAGATATGAGAGCAGTTATCAGGTCAAACCAACAGGTGTTGCAGAGATGGAAGCGGGCAAGAGAACTGGTTCAGATAGAAGTGATTGTACCCGACCTAAAAAGCCTCTGCATGTTTCTAATAAGCTCCACGAGCAGAAACGTGCTCAAACTAGGATCAATATTGGAGATGCTTTTGAAAAATGGAGAGAAGTTAGAACACAGAAAGGTTTACAGACCGATGCAGAGCTGGCTAAACACTGAAGCTTCAGTGTCCACCACATGGCAACCTGCGTGAGCATCGACTCTGGAGAGGAGGGGGCGGGGGGAGACAGCTCTCTACAGTGTTTAGAATTTGGACTGCAGTACCCATTTTAAACACTAGGTGTCAGAGTTACATATTGCTCCTTTAATCTTACAAAATGACTGATGAGATCTCAACCATGATATGAACTGAGTTAATGTGTAAATGTAGGTGCTGTGTTTGTCTCTGTTACTGATGGCCTGAATGTTTTTACCTTGGATGGAGATTTATTCTGTTCTGTTTGGTCAATCAACAAGACTTAACACACGAGATACAGGACGGTTTTCTATTTCAAAACACAAACTTTGAGGTTGTGTCGTTGTGTTTGTAATCATCCTGTTGCCGTCATGAAAATGTGTCTGAAAAACAAGTTTGCTTAACAGGAAGTGGATAAACAGCCTGAAGCTGTTCACACATCTCACACATGTTAAACTACAGAAACAGACACAATGAAAGGACTCTCATGCTGTCTTCCTTATTCAAGTGTCAAATATTATAAAGACATTATCTGTTGGAGTATATGGGTCTCTGTATGTGTGTTTGATCAGAAAACATTTTGTGTAGATGTCAAATCAATGAAAGGGTCGACCAGCCGATCAATATATCACTGAGAGTGGAAAGAATTGCTCAAATAGTTAGTTAGCTGAAGATAAAATATCCTTAGAGCAACTTTGTATATGAAAGGGTGAGAGAAAGAAGACAAAAGGAGAAAGGAGGACAAACAGGAGGAGGAGGAGCAAAGGGAGGAGCAAAAGTTTAAAAACTAGACGTGAGAAGGAGAGAGAGGAAAATCATAAAAACTTTATTTGTTTCGCACTTTTTAAAAACAAAGGTTTACGAAGTGTTTAGAGACGTGCAGAAGCATTTAAACAACAAAGCAGAAGAGCGCAAATAACAACAAAACAACACGACAACAACACAACCCACGGAAGAGAAACAAAACCAAAAAGAACAAAAAACCCTGACATTAAAAGACCCAGGAAAAAAACCCGGACATCATCAGACTTCAGGCAACATAATAACTCATAATAACCCAGGCACCTTAAGTTGAGACCAAAAGAATCAACTGGAAAGAATATAAAAAATTCAAAGTAGAGCCCGATTGATGGGGCGCTGGTGACACAGTGGTTAGTGCGCGCCCCATGTATGGAGACTATGGTCCTCCAGGCGGTCGGCCCAGGGTTGAATCCCACCAGTGGCTCCTTTCCCGCATGTCATTCCCCACTCTCTCTCTCTGATTTCAAACTCTATCCACTGTCCTATTTCTCCATTAAAGGCACACAATCAAGTGTCTATCGGTATCGGCTCATTTTAATCACAGATTTATTCACCAGTCAAACAGCATTTAATTTAAGTTTCATTGTTTTACAGTAGCAGTTCTTTTATACCAGCAGAGGACGCTTGGTTGGGAACCAGAGGGTCGCTGGCTCAAGTCCGGGTGTGGACCAAAATCTGCAAATTAGTCTGGTAGCTGGAGAGGTGCCAAGATCACTACCTGAGCACTTTTCTTAAACAGTGAAAGTGGAAGCTGTATTTTTTGTGATTAACCCCCAAACAAAACAAGCTCTGACATGGCTACATGCCAAAACAACCAGAGGCTCATTTAACAGAATCAGACGCATTAATCAAAAGTAGAATAACATCACAACGACATACTATAGGCTGAATTAATAACCTTGTTAAATCAAGTAATGTTCCTGAATAATCAAAAGAGGGAATAAAGCAGCGTTACCTGAGAGTAAACACAAGTCCTTTCTTTTATTTAAGTCTCATTTCTTCTAAGTTTGTTCAGTCAGCTGTTGGATCCGTCCACTCGTCCATCTTAAAGTCTTCAAGTGAGTCCACTCCGACCTGCAGGAGCCACCACACCTGCTGCTGAACACACACATTAAGACACACACACACACACACACACACACACACACACACACACACACACACACACACACACACACACACACACACACACACACGCACACACACACACACACACTCGGTGTTCAAACAGAGGTGGAGTCGTTGCTGATAAAATACCAGTTATTCAAATATGTGTCACCAAAGAGAACAAGCCACAGAAACAAGAAGCAAGCAAGTTTTTTTTTTAAAACTTCATTTAAACAGGAGTGTTTTTGTGTTTGTTTGCACAAGAAATTGTATATGTATTGTGTATATATTGTATAATGTTTTTTTTTTCTTGGGATGCAGTTTCCAGGTACTTTTTCCGTTTTCTTATTTTATCGATTAAAGTTAAAAAAAACTCTATAATATAATTTAAAGGGGACATATTATGATAAATCCACTTCTTCAGTGTTTTTGAACATATATTTGGGTAACCTGAGTGTCTACTGACCCACAAAATGTGAAATAAACCCATCTAGTCCTTTGTTTATGGTCTGCATAAGTCTTACAACACAGAGGAAAATGCTCCATTTCAAATGTGCTCTCATTGTGATGTCACAGTGGGATTCTGGAAAAAAAAAAAAAAGCCTTCCCCTCCCCTGGTATCTCCACCCATGGACTCCACCCCCAGCCTAGAACAAAACTTTTGAGCAGGTCCGCCATTTTTAATTCTCACTACAGAGGAGTGATGTCTACCGGGAAAACTTAGGGGGGGCTTTTGCATTTAAAGAGACACACACACCAAAACGGAGCGTTCTGAGAGAGCTGGTTTATACAGGCTCACAAACCTCCTCTGGTGCTTGATTCATGTTATATTTTGACCAAAGCACAGCCCAGATATTTCATTTAGACCACAGGGGACTGTTTGAAAAGGTGGAAAAGGGGGATAATATGTCCACTTTAAAATCCTTTTTCTCACTTACAAAGCTCTTGATGGTCAGACATCATCTGGGCTGCACGGCGGTGCAGTGGTTGGCGCTGTTGCCTCACAGCTAGAATGTTCCTGGTTCAAATCCATGTTGGAGAGTAGCCTCTCTGTGAGGAGTTTGCATGTCCTTGTGCACATGGTTTCCTCCCTTAGTAACATGCTTGTTAGGTTAATTGGTGACTCTCATCTATTGCTACAGATTTTTAAGATATTGGTCTTATTTACTCCCAAACTCTGTTTATATTGGAAGCCGTGAAAATAAAAAATACACAACATTTTCTTATTTAACTGATGCTGCATTTATAGGTTTAAATGATGAGATGAAGAGCCACCAGAGCCAATCACAGAGAAGCTATCAGAGCAGGGAACTGTTGCCGGGCAGTTTTCTCTTAAACTGAACGCACATCATTCTTTAAAAAGTTAAATCGACACCGATCAAAGATCCTCTGTGAGGGCACAAACTTCAGGCATGATGTCAACATTTTTCTGTGGTCTCCTCAGACTGCCGACATCTCGCCTTCAGTATGAATGTCATGGAGGCGAGATGCAGGGAAGAAGTGATCTGACTTCTGTGCCGTCCTTCGGAGGTAGTTACAGAAAGGAGGCGGGATCGTCAAAGCCAGCAGGGGAGCGAGGAGCTGTGTGTGTGTATGAGGAGCTCCCGCTGTGTTTACACGCCGTGCTGTCTCACGATTCAGCAACGCCGTAAAGCATTGTTAATTTACAGACTGGGACACCAATATTACCCCTCTGTGCAATCGCTAACTCTTAGCTCCGCCGCCATCACGTCTTTATACTTTCATATTGATTCTGTAGCGGCGTAATATCGGTGTCCCAGTCTGTACATTCACAGTGTGTTTCGGCATTGCAGTAGCTCCACATACACACACAACACTGAGCTCCCCCACTGGCCCTGCTGAAACAGTCTCGCCTCTGTTACTACCTCCAAAAACGGTACAGAGGGGGCATCACTTCCTACCCCATCCCACCTCGGTTGTATTCAGATAGAAGGCAAAACATCACGGGGGCATAAATATCGCAGCGTGGAAACGACAGTCTGAAAAGGGCTATTATAAATGTAGAAAGAAAGGATGAGGGCGGAGCTTGGTAGCGGCTGCACACTCTCAAAGTGGCTACTGATGTCACAGTAGGTGTCGACCTTAAAGGTGCCCTGCAGCGTTTGATTGTAGACGAGTGGTTATACGTATGACCACCAGGCGTGTGTATTCATAAACTTTTCCAACATATGTTGATTCGGTTTCCTTCCATGTGAACTATTGTAAAAGACCTTGTCCACATCAACACAGCTAGCTTGTGGTCTCCGAGGCAATCGTCAGCTAGTTTTAACATTTCTCCGCTTGTTAGATCACTTAACGTGAAACAAACAGCGTTTTGTTGGTTTTTTAGCTCATGTATATGTATGTTTGAGGTGTAAAACTCCACGGGTCACCTGTAAACTTTTCAGAGATAAAAATTAAATAAGTATAAAGTCACAACTCCCACAACAGGACATTTTAATAAGCACAAGCTTTCTCTGTTGGAAGAGAGGCAAATCAGGAATTTCAGCACAGAGTCGCTTTCTTTTTATTTATTTCTTCTTCTGCAGAAAACATTGCATGGAGTGATTCAGTAATGGTGTTAAGGTTGTTGAGAAAAGCAGTGAAAATCCTCCCAGCAGTGTCGGCAGCTCCTGCAGCAGAGCAACTGTGGAACTGGTAGCCAATGACGTTGAATATTCCCAAATTAAATTCATTTGAAGATCACATATCCTGCTAAATCCACTTCCCCATGTTCCTCTAACTCTAATGTGTCTGTAGTCTGTCTACAAACCCCTCCCAATGATGAGAAAAGTCCATCCTCTCCATCTTTTGCCTGCCCCACTTTTCAGAAAGTGTGAGCTCAAACAGGCTGTTTGGAGATTTTCCCTTCATGACATCACAAAGGGCAGTAGCCCCTCCCCCAGGTGGGTGACACTCCCACTACCCTCTGAAGGTCTGTTTACAATCAGCCTGGGAGATTTTTTATGAAGCGTGCAGAGAAATGTCTCATTCTGTTTCCACATTTTCTTCTTAGTTTAATTATTTGTATCCTTACATGACCTTTAAAATTATCAAATTATCACTGACACCATCAGCCACTCACACTGCTGCTTCAGCAAGCAATTTTTTTAAAAGCAGTTTTTCGCTTTGCTCAGGTGTCTTGACTTTAGCATCAATATTCAGTCTGAGAGTAAGGAGCCAGCTTTGATATTTGAATTATCTTTTTTTTGGTCTGCAACTTTCCAAGACTTTCCTCGTTTAATAGACGCTAATAAAAACACAGTAATCCAAAAGGGGAAGAAACAAAGAAATGCAACAATTTTACCTTAAAATCTGTTATATTTTTCCTCAATATGGATCCCTAAAGAGCGGAGTGAAGTGTTGCTTTAACCTTTCAAACTGCGGGACATTAAGCCTCTACAGTTTCCTGTTCTGACTACACATCATACTCGTGTGAAATCCTTTTGACACTGTAAAAAAACAACAGGAAAACAAAAAAACTCCTCTTCTTCCTTTACAAGAGAAACTGCAGCCAACATAATATTTATATATTTCTGTGCTTCATGTGTAGAGTAATCTGATCTTTTAAACTATATGTTTGTAAAGCAAAAAGACTGATCTGCAGCCAGGTCAGTGTTTATTTAGCGCCAAGTTCCCCCTTTAATCATTTTATTTAGAACATTTAAATAACAGTAGAACTAAATGTGGTACAGTCGGGATGTACACAGAGGACTCCGGTGAAGGTGCATGAATGTTTGGACACACACTGCTTCCTGTTCCTCCTCCATTATGTACACTGAAGGTGCGACAGCGGCTGACGGATCAGAAGTTGATGGCTTTGCCGAAGGAGGCGGCGAGGTTTGCTTCTCTGAAGGCCTCCGACACAGTCTGCAGGAGAAGGAAGACAGGTGAGGGATGAGAGTGAGTGGAGAACTGGAGAATCAGCTGGGTTTTACATCAGCGTGGTCGCTAAATTACCGTTCGATTTTCTGTAATAACGCTTTTTTTGGACGCAGAAAGCGTGTTTGGTGGAGGGCTTGACCGATACAGGATTTTGGGGGCCGATAACGATATCAATATTGGGGTGGGGGAAAAAAATCAGAAACCGATATATCGGCTGATATCTTTCTTAGATGTACGATCAGGGAAAGACTTATAATGAAGAAATGATGGCCGCTCGACTGGAAAGTTACTGAGCATGTACGTGCATCACCGCCTGACTCTCTGCAGAGTGATGATGCTTGTTGTAAGCCATACAGCGCCCTCTAGTGGTGACAGAGAACAGCTCGTGTAAAACTATGACACTCAAGTTAAATGATATTTGACTGGTGAATAAATCTTGAAATATCGGCGCATAGCTCTGATAGATTTAGCCAAAACTGATAGTCACTGGTTATGATATTATCGGCTGGCTGATTAATCGGTCGAGCTCGAGTTTGGTGTGTGTGTCAAAGGAGAGTATTGCAAATGAAAAAATAATGGTTGCTCTGACACACTAGCAGGATTTCAGACTCAAGTAGATCTAGAACAACTATTGCACCACAAGACTGCTGCTGCCACCTTTTGGAAATAGACTCATATCAGTGTTAACTTTGTATATGTGGATGAGGCATGTGTGTGTGTGTGTGTGTGTGTGTGTGTGTGTGTGTGTGTGTGTGTGTGTGTGTGTGTGTGTGTGTGTGTGTGTGTGTGGGGGGGGACGTACAGGATGGGCGTGGCACACTCTGGCAATGTCCTCACAGGAAGCGCCGTACTCCATGGCCAAAGCAGCTTCATTGATCATCTCTCCTGCCCCCTGCAAGCGAACACACAAACAGCAGCTTTTAATGTGCATGCCTGAATTCTCCTCTAAATAATTTCAAACAGTGTGAAAAAAGGAGTTAGCTTTTTTTCTGCTGACATGCTACTTGATTCTGATTGGTTAATCAGGGCAGGTTATTTGTTTCTCTCTCAAGGCAGGTCACTGCTCTGAGGAATTATCTGGAGGACTACTTCCTGCTCTGCTCTTACCGTTCCGACGATGTGAGCTCCCAGCATCCTGTCCGTCTCCTTGTGGCTGAGGATCTTCACCATGCCGTCAGTGTCGGCGTTGGTCTTGGCTCGGCTGTTGGCCGCAAAGGGGAACTTGCCACCTTGTACGGGACGCCCTGAGGAGGAGAGGAGCGGAGACGGGATGTCAAACACTGAGCGGAATTTAGACAAGACATTAAAACAAGATGATACAGAATTTTTATGTTTCACACTCATTGTGACTATTTTTTCAGACGGCCGATTATTGTACAAATATCTTAGATTTCTCGCACTCTAAGGCCCCGTGTCCACCTGGCGTTTTTTTTCAATTGTTGGCAATGAGCAGAGAGCAACCGCCTGGAGGAAGAGTGCTGCACCCAGCGTCTTTGCGCGGCCGCTCTGAGCTCTCAAGTTGAAAATCTTTCAACTTTTCAGAAAGCCGCTGTTGACGTCACCGGCGCTCTTTTCCAAAGTACATGCAGTAAAAAGAAACGGAGCAGTGTCGGTCAAACAGCGGGCGTTATCGACACACTGCTGTCATAGAGACAGGACGGACTGGCAGCGCAGGGAACGCTAAAGGTGGACACACGATCCTGATGGCGCCTCTTTATCGTATGACTCACCTCCTCTTTGAGCTGCTCCTCTGTCTTGCCGACCCACGCCACCTCGGGGTGTGTGTAGATGACGGAGGGAACACAGTTGTAGTCGATGTGCACGGCACCACCCGCCATGCCCTCCACACAGATGATGCCCTCATCCTCGGCCTTGTGCGCCAACATCGGCCCGGCGACCACGTCTCCGATTGCGAAGATGCTGCAGGAGGAGGGGGAAGGAACATTTAAAAATCCAAAAAGTGGATTTCCAAATCCGGATCATTCTTCTCCGCTTGTTAAAATATTAGACCCCGAGCCGGGAGGTACCTGGGTACTTTGGTCTGGAAGCGGCTGTTGACAGGGATGCGACCTCTGTTGTCCACCTCGATACCGACAGAGTCCAGACCCAGGTTCTGTGTGAACGGCCGTCTGCCGATACAGACCAGCAGCACATCACACGTCAGCGTCTCGTTCTTCCCTCCGGCCGCCGCCTCCACTCTGAGACACAAACAAACACGGGCGCAGATTTATACATTTAACAGTCACACAGACACTCAAGACAGGTTGTTGAGGATTCAGGAGGGTTTCACTCACGCCACATCGATCTTGCCGTCGGGCCTCTTGGTGGCGCCCATCACTTTGGTGCCAAGCTTGAACTTGACACCTTGTTTCTGCAGGATGCGCTGGAAGGTCTTAGACATCTCCATGTCGATGCCCATGCCGCCCACGTGGCCAAGGAACTCCACGGCTGTGACTTTAGAGCCCAGACGCTGCCACACTGACCCCTGCAGGACGGGAGGACAAACTGCTTGTTAGTTCTTTCATTTATTTAAAGTTCAACTCCGACTTTCTGTACACGTGTCGCTTACAGAGGTCTCTCATTTGTCTGGGTCTGAAAATAAATCTCTGAAGGAAATCTTCATCTTTAAGTAGCATGTTGCAGCAGCTCGATATAACTTCTGTCTTAAGTTAAGTACGCACTAAACCCTGTGTTGAAACTAGCTGAGTCACTGTCTGGTTAAACCACAGAGAAGCCCCACCTACTGTGACATCAGCAGCTTCGCCATCACAACGTTATACTAACCCAGGGGTGTGCAAAGTGCGGCCTGCGGGCCCTTGAGGGGATTTTTTTGCTGTAATCAAAGAATCAGAAGATTTTGGCCCGAGGCCTCATTCAGATGTCATATTTTGTTATTTTTCTTTTTCATGTTAGCAAGGGCTGAAAAACATTCCTAAAATAGAAAATGTTCAGTACAATGTATGTTTTTATTCCTTTTACTATTTTCCACATTTTTTGTTAACTATGAAAATAAACCTACGCACCAGTTTTTGCAAATAAACGACTGTTAAACCATATAATAACTTGAGCTAAATACAGAAAGCTTTTCCAAAAAATGTAACCATGTTTCAGGCTGTATTCTGAGAAAAAACAAATAAAGTAGAAGGAAGAAATCAAAGTCTTTGATTTCATTTTATTAAAGGGTTTCCTTTGCAAGCATTTTGATTCTGATCTACAAAGCCTTACTATTTTTTCCAAAAAATAAGAACACAATAGTTTCTCACTGTAATTAGTTATTGTGTATTTACATGATTTTTGAAAAGATCAAATTACAAAAACTTCACCACAAAATTATTTTAAATATAAAAAAAACAAAGCCTGTGGCCCGCAAGCGATTCTAAGACAACGATTTTGGTCCGCAGAAAAAAAAGTTTGGACACCACTTCTAGTAACGTTTGGACTTCAATCTGAATGATGCGGAGGCGTAATGGGGGGACAAAGTGACCCCCGCCTCTGTACAATCTTCGGAGGTTGTAACAGAGGTGAGACAGTTTCAGCGGAGCCAGCTGTGTGCGTGTGCATGTCTGACTGTGTGTGTATGTGGAGCTCCTGTGAACACAATGTGAATTCACAGACTGGAAGAGAGAGATATGACGCCACCATAGAACAAATATGAACGCACACAAAGACTTGATGACGGCTGAGCTTCAAGGAAGCAGTTTGAAAAGGGGCTTGTGTTTCCTCTCCTGACTTATCATCTCTGAGGAGGCTAAAGATAAAGTCTGTCAGTGTCGTCATCCACAAACTAAATGTGTGTAAAATATGACAGTGCATCATGATATTAGTCGACAGCCTCCATTCACAGTGACATCGAGGGGTCAAACCGTCAACTTAAACATAAGGTGGTACTCTTTTTACTGGATGGATGAAATAACCTCCGCTCTGGGCTAAGATTGAGACTGACCAGCTCCACTCCGATGACTCCCGCTCCGATCACGATCATCTCCTCGGGGACTTTCTTCAGAGACAGCGCTCCTGTGGACGACACCACGGTGTCCTCGTCGATCTAAATTAAAGACCACATTTAAAGTTACATTTTCAGAGATTTGAAAATGTTCAAACTTTTGGGAAAACTTCGGTTTCCTTCGGGCAGTAAAAAAAACAAATGGCGTACCTGGATGCCGGGGAAAGGCGTGACCTCGGAGCCGGTGGCGATGAGGATGTTCTTGGTGTTGATGACCTGCTCGCTGCCATCTGCTGTGGTGGCTGTCACCTGGTTCTTACCCGTCACCCTCCCAAAACCGTTAACGTGGGTCACCTGAGGGGGGGAGACGTCACACTGTAACCTCTGACGTGTGATTAGATGTTAAATTTAAAAAGATGGAGAAAGAAGACCGACTTTGTTCTGTTTGAATAAATGTGCAATTCCTCCAGTCAGCGCTTTGACCGCCCCGCTCTTCTGCGCCATCATCTTCTCCAGGTTCAACGAGATGCCTGTAACTGAGAGAGAGAGAGGGGGAGAGAGAGAGAGGGAGGCTTCAGTTACCAGTTTTATCCTCAAGATGGTGCCACTGTGTGGTTCTCTGTGGTTGCCTTTTCCATTTGGTCCATTTATTCTCTTCTGTGAACTCTTCTAAGCAACATCTGCTTTAAATTAATCTTTTGGTCTTTTTTTAACAAAGTGAACATGATAAAATGAATTAAACTTACTTTCGATGCCTCTGCTTTCAAAGTCTTTGCCGTGAGCCATGTGGTACAAGTAGGAGTTGTTCAGGAGAGCCTGCAGACACAAAAATACATAAAATAAATGAAAAGTTTTGGACCATATTTTTTTTATTTAGAGTATACTTAACTTAGAGAGTTTTATGTTTTGACTCGCTGATCTTTAATGTAAACATTACTTTGTACTTGTTTGTCAGCGTTTAAAATGATAAAGTGACCTTACTATATGATTAATGTGATAACATTAAGGAAACATGCTATGTTGAAGTGCTGGCTTCTCTGACAACAATGCAGCAGCCAGTATGTCCTCCTTCTAACTTTAGATTCTGGTCCTGAATGCTCTGGATTTGTTTGGACCAGAGAAGGTAGGCAGTTTTAAGACAACCCCACACGGATGTTTTGGACGCCCCTCGGTTTGCCAGATATGAAAGCAGTTATCAGGTCAAACCAACAGGTGTTGCAGGCAAGAGAACTGGTTCAGATAGAAGTGATTGTACCTGACCTAAAAAGCCTCTGCATGTTTCTAATAAGCTCCACGAGCAGAAACGTGCTCAAACTAGGATCAGTATTGGAGATGCTTTTGAAAAATGGAGAGAGGTTAGAACACAGAAAGGTTTACAGACCGATGCAGAGCTGGCTAAACACTGAAGCTTCAGTGTCCAACACATGGCAACCTGCATGAGCATCGACTCAAGAGAGGAGGGGGGGGGAGAATGTTTTGAAATTTGGGCTGCAGTACCCATTTTAAACACTAGGTGTCAGATTTACATACTGCTCCATTGAAGTTGAGAAAAACAACTCTTGTTTTGTCAGTGTTTCGTCTTAAACTAAATCATGAAGTTTTTAATTTTCGATCCTAAGAGACTGCAATAATTTACGGCATGGGAAAGTCTTAACGCTGACCTCAATCTGTTCCATCGCTCAAACATTTTGAGCAGAAATTAAACAATTTTTTCACCTTTGAGGGGATGCAGCCGACGTTCAGACATGTCCCGCCCAGCGTGATATTTTTCTCCACACAAACTGTCTGTCATGGGGGAGAGAAAGGTTATGATTAACTGAAAAGACCAAATTAAATGCAGCTCAGATTTATATTAAAACAACAAAAGCTCAAATGTTCCTCGTTTGTTTGACTCATTTGTGAAAATATGAACCACAAACTGTGACCTAGTCCACAAGTAGACCTGAGATAGACACAGAAAAACTCTCTGCAACTTCAAAAGATATGAAGGAAATTAATGCAGGGTGTAAAAAAAGACACATATGTTCAGTGATGTTACATCTCTGGCTGTATTTGGTCATTTGAAACATCAGTAAGTTCAGAGATGATTTATATTTGACAGTATTCATTAAATTTACAACATTGTGATAAACCAATTCATGTCCTTGCAGCATGAGAGCGCTGGATGTTGCGTCGCATCAAAAATGAGATATGGTACCACCTTCGTTAAAAAAACCTGCCATCTCTTCATATTTCCCGATCTGATTGGGGTACTTGAACGCAGCTTACCTTGAAGCCGAGCTGTGCAGCTTTGATAGCAGCGACGTAGCCTCCGGGACCGGAGCCCACCACTGTGACGTCTGCATCGACTGCAAAGGGGAGGGAAACGCAACAACATCATACACGAGTTCACTTTGTTACGGTTACTTTTTAACCCTTGGTAAACAAAGATACAGAACGGTCACACACAACGTCATCTCTTGGTTCATTACACCCCCTGGAATAAAGCCTGTTCATCTGAAGATATCGTTATAGTTTATGTGCGTTAAAACAATTCTCAAAACATTTCGTCCATAGAGCCGGGAGTTCTCATATTTCTCCTCTGACTGTCTGTCCTTCTTCACTCGGCTCCGCCTCTCTCGCTCTCGGAGTAAAACTCAACAACCGCCTGCATAACGAAATACAAATAAAGTCTTTTGTGCCTTTATTGTAGAGACAGGACAGTTGATAGTCCGAAATCTAGGAGAGAGAAAGAGAGAAAAAGTGGAGAATGACATGTGGGAAAAGGAGCCACAGGTCGGATTTGAACCTGGGCCGCCCGCTTGGAGGACTACAGCCTCATTGGGTGCGTTCCATTTGATCTCGGAAGTCGGAAATCCCGAGTTGCGAGTCTGATATGTCATCAGGAACGCCCTCAAGAAGTTGGAATTCTGACTCAGAAACTCGGAGAAACTTCAGCAGTCAGAGTTAATATCCAACATGGCTGCTACCTGCATCAACAGTAAAGTTCAAACTGCTGATGTTGTGTTTATTATATTGTTTTTCATCTCCTCCTCTTAAGGGACAGACCTGACTAAGCTTACTTGTTTACTTTTTACAAATCTGCATCATGATGCCGTTGAATCAGCAAACTCAATCCCCTTAATCACATCAGGTTTCGGGGAGTGAAGTCCCTGTGTACCTTACTGTTTTACTGAATTCAGACTCAACAGATGAACGGGCGCTACTACTAAGAAAAGACGGCCTTTATCTTGCCTGGAAGTCATTCAACGCTAACCTGCGGCTTTATCAGAATTACAGAGAAATTAACATCCCTTCCCAGAAGTGTATATCGTCTATCAGATAGTGATAAGACGATGATAGCCGAATAGTTCTGAGATTGCCGGTACGCCAAAGGATTAGGTTTTGATTCATCTTACTTGCTGCTTTGTCTGCGTAGGTTCTGACGGACACAGCCGTAGCTCCGTGCAGTTTGCAGGGAAGCTGGTGGCTCCGCTGTGAGAGAGGAAACAAACACACAGTGGAAAAAGTTCATTTTACATGGCAATGAAAAAACAGATGGCTTTCATTCCCATTGTTCAAAGTTTAAAACCTTTTTTTTGCAAATCTTGTAAGCCACGTCTGCTGTAGATGCAGGAAAATGTCTCATGAACGAGCAAGTTCATAAAAAAAAAAAGTCACACAACGCTGACAAGACAATGCCATGTCTCAAAGAGCCGTCTTGAAGGTCACATTATGCTAAATACTCTTCACCATGTTGTTCTACCACTTATATGTGTCCCTAGTCTGTCTACAAACCCCTAGCTGTGGGAGTGTCACCACCTGGGGGAGGGGTTACTGCCCTTTGTGATGTCATGAAGGGAAAATCTCCAAACGGCCTGTTTGAGCACACATTTTCTAAAAAGTGGAGCAGGCAAAAGACAGAGAGGATGGACTTTTCTCATCATTGGGGGGTTTGTAGATGGACTAGGGACACATACTAGTGTTAGAGAAACATGGTATTTCTCATAATATATGATCTTTAAATTATAAAAATATATAATTTTAAACCTTTCAAGGACCCGCAGGAACCCTGCAGTGAGAAATAATTTGGAATAATAAGTTCTTTCAACCCAGAAAAGCTGTGTGACAACATCTCTGTCATAAGCTGCATCAGGAGTTAGGTAACCAGTGCTAAGCTAACTAGCCTGCTAAAATGACAAGAAGGGAGAGAGCTGTCAAACGTAGCTTCATTAAACTACCACATGAGGAAATGTCATCTCTTCTACTAGAAACACAAACATGTAACGCTTCAGACTTCTAATACTGGTGTACGGAAAAGCTAACATTCAGCTACTTCTTTGTATAATGTGATATCCTGGAATTCACTGGAAACATGAAAGAAAAGTGTTATTTTGATTTACATGTGGGTCTCTAATTTATCTCTAATAAAGCCGAATTGTACAGAACAATCCTCTGAACATTTTAAAACTTAATATAAGCGAAATCAGCGGCATGTTTTTCATATAAAACGTCAAAAACTCTTGAATTGGAAGATTTTTCAGCGGAGTCTGGTGAAGCACGCAGGACTGTTAGCTTTAGCTGCTAGCTAGGCCCGGGCCCGGTCATAACATACTGGTTTCTACAGGAAACAACAGACATTAAATCCAGTTTAAACCAGTCTGGACAACACATGCTGAAGTATAATGTAATGAAAGTCATCCTCACCGTGGCCAGAGAGCGATATATCTGAGTCCAGCTCTGCATTTTGTCTGCGTCCCCTCACGGCTTCAGTAACCTACAGCGGGCCGACAAGCCAAGGACTCCTCTCATTGCGCATGCGCAGTATCAGTCACCTAAAAACCTATGCCTAAAACACGCCTGTACGTCGCTGCTTTATGACGTAGTGATATTGAAGGATGAAAAACAAAACAAACCATTAGGGACCTTGAGAATTATACTTTATGTAAAAAAAAAAAAAACATGCGATTAAATAAAAAAGATAAAATATCTTTCAGATGTGATGATAAAAATTATGTTCGATTTATTTTACTATTAAATGTTTCTATTAACAGGCAGCAGTTCTTAGCTAAACTCCCTCTTTTTTTTTAGTTTTTTTAAATTGATTTAAAAATATGTTTTAAGTCTCTTGTATTAGTTACCAACCAAACATTGATGTCAGTGATTTTAATTTCGATATCACCCGATACTAATGACGAACCGACGACGAACCGATGCATCTAGTAACTAGTAATTTAATTAAAAGAACGATAATTGTTTAGAGAGTTAAATTAAATACAAGCTTAACGTATAAATGGAAATATTTAGTGAAATTCAATTTTCCCAAAATTTTACTGAGGTACAATTTAAAAATTAAAACTGCAAGCGGTGATGAAGGGCCTCGCACTTTCATGCACGCTGGGGTGTGTCATGAACCAAGCAGCAGCGAGGTGGCGCCAAGGAGGAGGCTAGCAGATCGATTTGTGCCTGTTGTCGTCGTCATTTCCAATGTATCCATGCTGTGGATTCCAAGCTGACGTGGACCTGGTCATGTAACACAGGCTCTCTCTTCAAGAAGGATGGAAAAGACTATTCTTCCTGAGAAGACTTGGATCATTCAATGTTCGTAACATATTCCAGTAGACCTTCTTGACTTTCTATCCATGACATTCTATGGCATATCGGCTGTTCATTCAATCACCACATTTCAAGGTGTAAATCAGCATTTGATGCGGTCCTATGTGTTCATCCATTGCCATCAGACTTTACTCATCATTGTCTCCTTTTATTGCTTCTTCATGTACTGTACTTACATACTGGCTTATTAGGGGTAGGAATCACCAGAGGCCCCACGGCACGATATTATCACAATACTCAGGATTCGATATTATTGCAATTGTACACATTTTGCAAGATGCTAAGAATTTCTTCATCTATGTCAACAAAATTAAATGAATCAAGATTTTTTTGGGGGTAAAATACAGTACATCATTGTCAGACTACTCATTTCAGTCTTTTAATTTTTACACAATAGGATCCAAGCCCTGACAATGATCAACACTGTGATCAAAGTCAAACCCTGTAAAAGGCTGCATGCAGCTCTCAATCTGAACTGTTTTTCCTCTGTAATAGAAGTTAATTGGACAAAAATATGTATGAAAGATTGCACAATTTAAACTACTGTTAAAAATGCAACTTCTTCAAAATGTAATTTTGCAACCTATTCAGCAATAAAAATTAAACAAGCAAATTTGCTATCAATATAATAAAAATATAAAAACTTGACAGCCATGACACAATATAACATGGCTACACAAAATATAGATAGTTTCGTCCACCTGTAGTGGCTATAAGTGTGTGTGCTGGGTGCATTTTTGGTTTCCACTGCTCTCCGTGCAGCTGAAGTAGCACCCCCCCAATCCATAGCTGCTTGCGTCGGCTGAAACTGCAGTAGGTTTGTTCACATTGTAATAAGCAAGTACTGGTGCAGTAGTCTAGAGCTCTTTTTTTTTTTTTTTTTTATTAGGTGATGCAGAACAATACAAGACGAGTGAGGGACATGACAAGAGCAATAGTATGTAGGAGACAGGGGAGACACAACGATACAATGCACAGCATAGACAAAGACAAAACAGGCAAGCAGGGAGTAATAATAACGTTTAGCAACTTTGTATGTTGAGGGTTTTGAAGGGCCCTGCTTGTGTGTGTGTGTGTGTGTGTGTGTGTGTGTGTGTATAATTCAAGTGTATGCTTGTATCTTTTTTTTTTTTTTTCCCCTTCCCCTTTTCTTTTCCCTTGGGTACAGTAAAAAGAATGAAGGTTTGAAGAGAACTAGGATGAGAAAGTGGTAGAAATGGGATTTAACAGCAAATTGAGCTTGATGAGTAAAAAAAAAAAAAAAAAAGAGATATACTAACAAAAAAAAAAATATTAATAGAATTAAATATAAATGAATGAATAGAGTCCTAGTCCGAGGAGGGGCTAGAAAGCATATTCAAAACAAAGGGAAAGAAGAAAAGTAGAATAACTGAAGAATAAAAAAGTAAAAAATAAAAACAGCTCTTTAATGTGGTCAAAGGCTGCTTGCTGTGCGTGACTCCAGGTCCATGCATTCTTGTTTTTTTAGAAGTTCATACAGCGGTTGTCCCACAGTTGAGAGGTTGGGGATGTATCTTCCCAGAGAGTTCACCATCCCTAGTACATTCTTCAACTCCTGCACGTCTGCTGGTGGGGACAGCTATTGAATAGCCTCCACCTTGTCTGGGTCGTGCTGGATACCAGACCAGTCGATGAGGTGTCCAAGAAACGGCAGCTGCTTGATGGAGCACTTTTCTTTGTTGAGCTTAAGCCCAGCTGACTCAGTGCACTGCATTACCTTCTGCAGGCGGCTGTCATGATCCTCCTCTGTGGCTCCGTATACAAGAATGTTGTCCATGAAGACTGCGACACCCTCCAGCCCCTGCAGAGTCTCCATCATCTTCCTCTGGAAGATTTCAGGTGCGCTTGTTATCCCAAACGGCAGTCGCTTGAAGTGGAAACGGCCGAAAGGTGTTATAAAGGTAGTAAGCTTACAGCTGTCAGGGTGGAGAGGTATTTGGAAGAAGCTGCTGGCGGCATTTAGTGAAGAGAACAGTGGCTCTGCTCAGCTTTGCTGTTATCTTGTCTGTAGTTGGCAGGATGTACTGTTCTCTTTTAACAGCCTGGTTCAGCCTCTTGAGATCAACACAGATGCTGGCTTTACCTGTACTCTTCTTCAGGACAGGCACCATGGGCGCACACCATTCTGTTGGCTGTGTCACTCTCTCAATGATGTCATTTCTTTCCATCCTCTGTAGCTCCTCCTTTACGGCTTTCGGCTCCTGTGTCAATTTTGAAGTTGGCTGGTGTTGAGCCCACCAGCAGTTCAACAGTCCACTGCTTAGCTGAGCCATCTGCTTTTCTCACAGCAGTTTTCTACATGAAAAGAAAATTACTACAAACAATGTTCGGAAAAAAGAAAATAAACACAGAGACGTTTTGATATTTTGCACGTTGCAAAGTTTTTATTATGCATTTAGTTATCTGCAGAGAGTTCACCAAAAAAAAAAAAAAAACCCAAGAAAAAAAAATCCCAAACTCCTCCACTGCACACGGTATTATAGAACAGGTCTGAGTTCTGAGTTGCGTCTAACACAAAAGAAAACACACACAAAAAAAAGCACACAGCAGTGCACGGTGTGATTGACAAAGGAGCTAATCAGAGGAGCATGAGTGGAAATTCTCGAAGGAGCTGACAATAACCTGGGCAAACAACAACTATCCAGGCTGAGGTATTGTCTTTTTTATTCAGTGACTAAAATAACTGATTCTATTTCCATCAGTGTTTAATGTTAAATGAGGAGTAAGTAGCGTTGTTCGTAATTTAGCAAGCTAGCACAACATAACCGCTGATGTTTAGCACCTGTCTGTCCAACAGAAAACAGGCTAACTATGCGTCAATATTCAACCCAAGCAGCTCTTTAAAGGTCACATATTCTGCGAAAGCCCGAGCCGACCAAAGCCCTTCCAGAGAGGGGGCGTGGTCAGATACAGCATTTGCATTTACAGACACAGAAACAGCCTGTTCTGAGCAGGACTTGAAATAGAGGGGTTTATAGACATGCTCAAATACAGGATCAGAGTGGATTTAGAACAAGAAACTTCACAAACATGTTTTGGGGAGCTCTGAGACTTATTTACACTGGTTGAAGAGGAGGAGAATATGTAACCTTAAAGGTCCAAAAGCAGGTGAAAGCAAAGCCCAAAGTTCAGACTTATATGTTCTTTGTTTGTATGGCGTCCATTTGCTGAAATGTCTTCAATCCCAAACTCAACTGCTTTCTGTCATTGGCTGACTTAATGTCATAAGTGATGACTGAGCAGCATGCGTTTAGTATAAGTCTATACTACTTCTTTTGACTCTACCTTCTTAAGTATTTCTACTCATTGTAAAACACACCCCCAATCAGAGCTGTGGATTGTGACACCATTGTTCTGACACGGACTGAAGAATGGGTAGAGATCCTCAAAGAAGGAGCAGCCAGTGAAGGAGTAGATCAGAGCTGCAGCATCAACGTCATAAAAGGAGACCAGACCCTCCTCATAATTCACAAACACCCCCACCTTCTCAGGCTGAGACTTCAGGGAGAGACGGACTGAAGGGCCAGCAGCAGCTAAGTACTCACCCTGAGAACTCAGACACATGGTCCAGTGACCGTTTGTGGGGCTCAGTGTGATGGTTTCCTTCAAGTTAGACAACTTTCTGACCACTCCTAGAGTCCACGAGGAGCTCTTTTTAACAAAGACTTCAAAGTAAAATCTTCCTGAAATGAAACCCCGCATTGATAAGACACATCTACAGTCATTACCACGGTGTCTGCCAGGGGGTTTGGGATGAACTACATCAGGATCAACTCTTACATTTACAGAATATTGCTGGACCCTCCTCAGCTCAGCCACAAACAGCTTCTTCATCTGTTCACTGATCGTCTCCTCCAGCTGGCTCACAGCTCTCACCACAGTCCCCTTCATATGAAGGTGAATGGACTCTGACTTCAGTCCAGTCCTTGGTGGGTGTACATGCTTTTAAGAACTGAACGTTGTTAAGGAGTTGAAGGGGGTCTTCAGATCGTGAGAGCTCCTGCACCTCAGCCCTACTCTTCTCCAGCTCAGAGATTTCCTGTTCCAGCTCTTTGATAAAGTCTTCTGCCTGTTTCTCCGTCTTCCTCTGCTTCTCTTTGATCGTGTCAATGAGCATGTTCAGTTTTCTCTCAGCAGTCTCCATCAAAGTATTGAAGACTTTAACACCTTCAGTGATCTCTCT